AAAGCGTGCGGGGCAGGCTGCAGCAGCTGGCGGGGCATCGTCTGTATTCGCTGCGGGTGCTTTGGTTTGCGGTGAAAGGCAAACATGTCATTGAGTAGAGGATGCAGAATCCTTTTTTTAAAATTATTATTATTATAGAGGTCTCTTCAAATGCAATATGAAGGATAAAAGGGTAATTTCGTACCTGAAACCAAAAAAAAATAGTTAAACACTTTCTCTCGTTCGTTTTTCAGAGCAGTGGGTTTGTCGTGACCTGCATCACTGGGGTGCACGCAGTCCTCGAGCACGCTGCGGAGTCTTTGGGGCTGCTCACGTCAACTGGTCCTGCTCACAACTGAGCGCGGTCAGTACCCCGGTCACCTTTCGTCTCTGCTCCCCGCCCTGATCTTTTCTGACACATTAATTCTTGCTTGGAAGCAAGTCCAGCAGAAGAGGCCGCAGTAGGAAAAGCTGCTGTTTAAAAATTCTGTCAAGAACTTTTTCACCAGTTGTGAGCAGAAACCTGGAACTGCGGTTTGTAACGACGTAGACCCGATGTAGGTCACTGCCAATCAGTAACTCCACTGAGCGCGCCAGGGTGTAAATCCCATCCCCCCACCCCCATAACGGAGATCAAAATTGGGCTTTCAAGTGTTTTTTTTTTAAAAAGACTCCTGTTGTAAAATTCCACAGAAAATGTTTCACAGCTGCTCAGAATTTAAGGAAAGTTAACATTTCCAGAAGCACCCAAGAAAAACCTCATTTACCTGATTTTGCAGCTAACGTACCGCTGGAGTTAATGAGATGTAAGCTCTTAAGTCATTTAGTTGCTTTTGAAAGTTTTACGTAATGATCAATTCCAGCTTTTCCAAAGTATTTATTTTCATGTATTTCAAAAACTGTCGTTAAGACTCTTTTATTACGATTCAGCATTCCTTTGGTCTACTCGACATAGACATACAGTAGTACAAATTGAACGGTAAGTCGCCTTTACTAGAAAGAAAAATGAGTCTCTTGTTGCTTTTACAGCAGTAGAAAAAATAACGGAGGGTCATGATGTGCTCACAGATTGGGGCGGATGGACAGCGGGAGCGGAGAGCCGCGGGACGACGCGCGGGGTTTTTGCTGGGGGGGGCAAG